GAGGTTCATTTCTCAGTGTACCTGCTACTACCACCCATGGTGTGAAGTCATTGTCGGTTCGCTCTCATTGCCCTCCCTAAAAAATCTGCTGATCAGAACTCTTTCTCCTGATGTTTTGAAAAACTGCCCAGCGTCTCCTGAGACCATTTCACTTACATACTTGAGCTCCTTTGTCCTTACCCAGCCAATACTCTCAGTCCCCCAGCCCAGCCCAGTGGGATTGAGTAAGTCTTGGGAGCAACACTGAAGACTGTGTTGGTGACATTTCTCCCGGCCCTTGGGTCCCATTTAGCACGTGATCGGTCTCAGTGGTAGCAGGAGAATGCCACCAAGAGCCAGCTCAAGTCAGGGGGAAGTCCCTCATCCCCAGTTTTGTTCCTGCCCAACTTAAAGTAAGAGCTGTTGGACTCCAGGCAAAGTCTGTTCTAAGGAGTCCCATGTGTAACAGGCTGTTACAAAGATGATAGTTTAGTTAATTACCGTTTTCCAATACACTGTATTATTTCCACGTTGGTGAACACCAGCTTAATTACAGAACTTTATCTCTGCAAGACAATGCCTGGGAGAGGTTTCCTAGTAACCTCTGTTGGTGCATCTGTTATCATGTTTAATATGGGATGAGAAACGCAGAGCTGGAATTCAGCCGGATTCACGGGTAAACACAGTCTGTGAATTTTATGTCATATTCAGGGATGTTTGACTAGGTCAGTTACCTACAGTAAATTAATGAAGACAGCAATAAGTTTCCAAGTCTCTTTCCACAGCTGTCATTACCTGGCTGAACACCGAAACCTTGGGATAATGAGGATGTAAACGGATGTAGTTCACATTAAAAAAGCCCATTATTTGAATTTGCATAGCATAATAGAATGCACCATTTTGTCTAAAAGATGGATAATTATTCAAATCACTCCTGCCTCTTTCCTTGAGCAGGCTGATTACTCCTGTCTCCTCTTTCCTTGACTGGAGACACAGAAGGAAGAGCCAGACATGACTTGATGAGTGCTGCGTCTATGGCCTCAGGTGATACAAGCAGACCGTGCTTCTAGGGTCTCCAAACCGGGCGGTCTGTTCTCTGCGCCTGAGCTCTGGCTCCCACAGACAGCAGCAGGAGCAGGCACCTTAAAGGACACATTGTGAGACACAGCAAATGGCTGCATTTGTTTTCCAGAAAAGATTGGAGGCATTTGCTGCAGTTATACACTTTTTCTTCTTCAGTTAAACAACCAAAATAAGAGGCTCGAGATGGCACCCTCCTCTCCCAGGATTTGTCCTGGTGTTGGAACTATTAGGAGTAATGGAATTTGAGTAGAATGAGGTCCCGCTGATGTGAAGAGGATGGATTTCTTGATAACCATTTGGGTGGGAAACCCCCTGGAAAATGTGTCCATTTGGTGCAGCCACTTTCTGCATGTCCTGACAGAGAGACTTTAAAGGCTAACGAATAACTGCAATTTGGAGTTGGTTCCTGCTGCACGGCTTTGCAGTCCTTAGAACTGCTTCATCCATCCTTAATTTGAGGCAAGCAAAAAATAATAATAATAATGGATAAAATAAACTTATGCACACTCTTCCTTCAGAAATAACAGACTAGCAGGGAACTAGCTATCTCCACAGTCTCAGGGCTGGCCTTGATTCTAAATGCTCCAGTATCACTTGGTTCACTCCCACCGCTGCATTTACTGTTTCAGCTTGGTCCCTGTGCCCTGCCACTCGACAGTCCACCACCCTCCAGTGTCCTCTCCCTCGCACTTCAATGGTGCAGTCATCTAGCTCAGAGACCTCCCTCGCTCACATTTTTCTTCAGAGAATTTTAGCTGGTCTGTCTTCCCCTGAAGCATTCATGTTTGTTTCCCTGGCATTAAGTAGAGAGCGTTCTTTCATCCTGGCCCGTACTTCCAACCCCCTACCTCCCTGTGGCTTTCTTGGACAGGAAATTAATCTTTCCTTCTCTCCAAACTCTGACAAAATGGGAGCATCTCCTGAATGCCCTGGCCTAGTGCTCAGTTGACTGTGAGGAAAAAAGGGCCAGGCCCTCTCTATCAACGGCCAGGATCCAGAGTTGAGCGGCACTGGAACCAAGACACCTGCTTCCCACTTCAGTTGAGTCCATTTGAACTTTATTTTTTTTCATCTTCAAAGGGGTCCTTAAAGCCCTGAAAGGAAATTAGAAAGGAGGAAAAGGGAAGATTGTGCAACTGATTAGTTACTAATTAGTTCTTCCAGTGGTTCCCAGGTCATCAGTTTCTCCTCCATGGAAATGAAAGTTTCTGCCAGTGAGGGTGACCAGCTTGTTCATCTGTCTCCAAGCTTTGCTAGATGCAAAGAGAAGAAAACGTTATCTTATTAAACCCTTCAAGTATCTGAATTCCTCTCTCAACTTCTTTAGTTTCCAGACTCGCTGGTACCTGTTTTGTGCCCTTCATACATTTTGAAATGAAAATGCCTTATAGATACAAATATTCATCAAAACGTTTGTGTCACTGAGTCTGGCTAATGCAGATGATTCTGTATCCACAGTTTAGCAGGAGCTCATAGCAGCCACAAGAATGCTAGAGATGCAGGCTTGATGCTGGACAGGAGTCAGGGCCTGTGTGGAGACCCAGCACCCAGCACTAGGAGGATGGCCGTGGAAAAGAAAGTTTGGCTAAGTGCCGCTGCTGCAGCAGATAAAGCACCTGCTGCTTTCTGTCTCTCTGTCTCTGTTCAGGATTCAGATTCAGTCTTACTGTCCTTATTTGGGTCAGGATTCTGTCTCTTCATTAGGTAGCCTGTCTCCTGATGGCCTGTCAAACTGTTATCCAGTGGGCATAGTAATTCCCTAAAAGCAATAAACCATAGACTTCTTTGGGAAGAGATTGTTGATACTGAGTGGTGCTAAGCCACTAACACGCTATATAACAGTTATAAAATATTCCTACAGTAGTCTTACATGCAAAAATGAAAACAAAGCAGACAAAATAGAACACACAAAAAGGAGCAAAGTCCGAACAGTGCTGACTCAACCATGGTGTAAGGTAACAAGGAAAATAACTTGAATTTGGTTTGCTCTATATTTTACAACACTTCGAAGGAGTCAGCATAAACATTGCAGGGATGATATTTAGGCTGGCATTCTCCAGCCAATTTCCCCAATTCCCCCATGACACTTCCCACGCAGAAGTGACCCTAACTCAGAGATGGTCTCCCAGCACCAATGAGCTGAGCTCTGCTTGTGTGAGTGGGCTTTAGATCACTGGTGTTGTGGCTGTGCCTGTGAGGCTGTGCCAATGGTTTCTGATGTCATTTTCACCTAAGACACAAAGCCACATCCCATAGTATCCTCCACCCTCAAACCAATTGGCTCTCTTATTCTCAGATTTCCTCCTTCCCTGGAATGACTTGTCAATTCTCTTATGGGTGTGGTCAGTTTTCTTGTCCTGGGAAAGAGTCTGAGAGTGACAGCAGGTGTCTCGTCAGAAGCTGGGCTCTGTGTGTCAACCATGAACTCATAAAGTATGGAGAGATCAGTGGTTCCAGCTTCTATATCCCAAGGGACGTTGAGACAAGGAGTAAAGTGCAGAGCACTTCACCTCCTTGCCTGAGGAATACTGGGTTGACCCTTCATGGGGATTAGCCCTGTGATTCATGCACTCATCCGGCAGGGGCGCATGCCCATCATTCAGTTGAACTTCTAAGGGGTGGAAATCCTCTCCTGCCATCCCCACAGAAGCTCAAAACAGTCACTGGAATGACTCTTAGATTCATGAGATTCCTTCATTTTCCTTCTGAAAGTGTATTCAGGGCTTTCTATATTTCTTAGTGTTTCTAACTCCCCTGGAAGGTAGACAGGGGATGGATTCCTTTCTCTGATACATGATGCCAGCATGAGACTACCTGCAGGGTTGCCTGGGAGCTAAGTTTTGGCACAGTATTTCTCTAGGAGTTTGAGGCAAGGGAGAGGTCACTGCCTTCCCTGGCGCATCAGCACCCATGCTGCTTACAAAGGCCCTGCAGCTTCAACCTCACGGGGAAGCTCATATGGCTCCTCCGCTGGGCACCAGGTCCTGTGCCCACCTCACTGCGGGGAAGCCAAGGAAGGTGATGACATCTTCCTTGAGCTTTCAAGCAGTTTGTCTGCCTTTAATTACTCTGACATTGTAGGCAAATTATTATTTGAAAGGAATGGTATTTGTTGTTTTGTTTTCTTAAGCAAATAAATGAACCAAGTGATTTCCTATGATGTCACTCACTGTGGTGAGACAATATCACGTGTGAGATTACACACTTTGGTAGCCTTGAACCTCATGAAACCAGGAGAGTCAGCTGACCCTGGAGAAGTCCCGTTCCTCACAATCTCCACCCAGGAACCCACGCCCTCTTACCTTTCCAGACAGGGACATGTCCCCGTCCTTGGGCTGCCTGAAGAGGTTGCACAGGGAGGACACGGGTCACTGGGTGAGATAGGGCTTCTCTCCTGCTCCAGGCCTCCAAGCTGCCTCTAACACTCATGGGCCTTTGACTCTTAGGAGTCATTGACCCTTCCTGAGTCTGAGCCTTCTTTTGTGTAAGGGGTGGCAATGATCATGCAAAGTCTTTTCAGCATTGTGATCGCTAAGTGGCAAATTCATGGGGCACCTTAGAGGCTCAAGGACCATTTTCTTTATTCCTGTGGAACTTCATCTTCTCCTGTCTCTGCCTGCTCTTCAAAGCATCTTGTCCTAAGGGTTTCTTCTGGGTATGGCAGTGATTCTCAACTGAGTACAGAGGCGAGATGGGATGCAGCCAAGGCCTGTTGACAGCATCTTTGCTACGCAAGGATTATGTTTACCCAATGGCTTCCCCAGATAATAGAGGGTTGGCCACATAATTGAGAGGAGGTGGGAGCCACATGAGGGGGATACTCACCCACAACCCAACAGGCTGACCAGGCCTGGTGCCTCCAGATACCCAGAGTTGTAGCAAGCCAGCCTTGACTCACTGTTGGGGGCCCACCTGACCTTCCTGTGCCTTCCCTCCAGGACAAAGAAGTGAACTTGGAGCAGGTCCACCGGCGCATGAACAGCCTCATGGATGAAGACATTGCTCACAAGCAGATTTCCCCAGCGTCTATTGAGCTCTCAGCCTTGGAGATGGGGGGCCTAGCTCCCACCCAGACCTTGGAGCCGACGCGGGAGTACCAGAACACCCAGCTCTCGGTCAGCACCTTTCTGCCAGAGCAGAGCAGCCACGGCACCAGCCGGACACTCTCGTCAGGGCCCAGCAGCAACCTGCCGCTGCCGCTGAGCAGCTCGGCCACCATGCCCTCCATGCAGTGCAAACACAGGTCGCCCAATGGGGGGCTGTTCCGGCAGAGCCCGGTGAAGACCCCCATCCCCATCTCCTTCCAGCCCGTGCCTGGAGGCGTCCTTCCAGAGGCTCTGGACACCTCCCACGGGACCTCCATCTGACCGCGCCGCCTGCCCTCCTGCCCACCCTCCCACCCACCCGACCAGCAGAGCTTTTTAATACAAGAAAACAACAACACAAACCACACACACTCGCGCACACACACATACACAGAGACTCTTTCATTTTTCTTGTACATATGTGTAAATAATGACAGAATGGAGTGGGGTAAAAGTGTATTTTGAATATTCCCAATTTTCGAAGTCAGTAAAAAAACACAAAAACTGTATGAATGACTTTGTAAATTTTGTTCTATATGAATAAAAAGGCAAATTACTTGTGATCATTCTGAAGTGCCAAAGGAGCCCCCCGTTCCTGGGCCTTTCTGAGGGCAGGCGGGGTGACCAGATAAGGACCCTCTCCCTGCTGGGGGAGAAGAAAAGACGAGGAGCCCCCCATGCTGCTCGCTGCCTTGTCCCACAGCTTTGCTGCCCTGTTTCTTTGCTCCTGGCCCCTCATTCTTTTTAGTTTCTCAGCTGGATACAGGGAGTCTGGAGCCCGCGTTGGGCTGGCCCACTGGGTTGCTGTGCTATAGGGTGATCAGCTGTTCTGGGTAGCCTGGGACCAAGGAGGTAACCTGGACTCAGGGCCATCCTGTCCTGGACCATGCAGGGCAAGATGGTCACCGGCTGTTTGTGTTGCAGTGTGCCTCTGTCCCATGGGCCCGAGAGAAACTGACAATTACCCGTAGTGAGGTAATTGAGAACTTAGATGCTGAGCTGTTCTCATATCATCCTGTTGGCCTTGCTTTTTATTTTCTTTTCAAAATTAGAAGAATCAACAAATGATAGCATATGAGGGAAGGAGGGCAGACTCCATTGCTGCTGCAGGGAGGCTGGGCAGAGGTGGGGTTGGTCTGGAAGAAGGTCCCTGGGGACAGGAAGTTGTGAGGTGCTGGTTAGTTACATGGACCAGGTGAAGTGATGGAACAAGAGGCCAGGTAGGGGAAGAATATTTCCTTGAGTTTGGGCCCATGGTCCCAGGTAAGAAAAGAAAGTGTAGCCATAAATGCAGGGAGTAGAAGCTTTGTAGTGTCAGGTAAATGGATCCTGTTAGAAGGAGTTGGGGAAGGTGCCCAGGGGAGTGGACCAGCACTCCAGGTGATGGAGCGTGCTGGGAAATAGAGAAAAGAGACCATGTTTGTTTAGGAGGATGCCTGCCCCTTAGGTGAGAAGCTTAACTGTAACTCCCATCCACCAAAGAAGTTGCTTGTTGCCCCAAAAGTAAAGGCCTATCTCTCTCTGGGTCATAAATCCTCCAGGCAGTCCAACAAATAGGGCTAGCTCCAGCACAAACCCTCCCTCCCAGCATCACCACCTTCTTCAGACCAGACCAGGAGTCTTCCTCAAGCAGCAATCCAGCCCAGAGCAGGGGCCCTCCCCACTCAGGGCATCTGATATGCTTTGAGATTCCCAGGCCTAGCCTTTTGCACGTGCAGCTGTGGAGAAGCCCTCAGTTACCTGGGAATCCCGGTTTTGTACTCCTAGGACAACCTAACAGCCCCCTTCCTTCAGCTGCCCTTTCTGGGGCAACTGAACTACAGAATCGGGGAAAGAACCATTAGGAGTGGAGCTGGGGGAATCTGAGTTGTGCCACTTCAGTTCTCTCCTAAAGACAAAGATGATTCTGATCTCCTGACCTGTCAGAATGGAATACACAGCCCACATCTTTCACTGAAGGAGGTGGAGCTCCTGCTGCCAGCAGTAATCAGGGAGCTGAGAGCCTGGGTCTGCAGTCATGGAGAAATACAAAGTCCTATTGATTGCTTCTTCTATAGCCTTGTAGAGTTTCTAGAGAGATGTATTTATGACAGTGATAACTAGCCCAGGATTGATTTCTTTCCTAAAGTCCCTAGTGACATGATTGAACAGTAAGGAACGGCCACATCACACAGTCAGCTAAAAGCACCATGGGAAGAGAGAGTGTTTATAATTATGTTTTTTATCTCTGGATGCTGAGAATGGTCTGATATTCATGCTACCAAGGCAATCCATTGACATTTCTCCAATCAGAGCATGCGGAAATTTGAGCCAGGCATGCCCCTAGAAGCCTAGGTGGGCTCCCATGAACCTGAGGAAGAGCAGGCTTTGTTTCCCATCAGCACTTTGGGGGCCCTGCCCTGGATGGTCAAGTTTTCATATATATGTGTATATATATATATATATATCTATTTTTTTAATCAAACTCTGGTCTCACTGCCTTATCTCACACCTAACTCTGTTTCCCCATCAGCCCCTGAGATGGCCTGTCTTCTGGGATATAGCATGGATGTCTCTTTGGATAGCTCTGCTTAGAATGAGTGTCAAGGAGGAGAGAGAGGGAGATGGAGGGTGTGTGTGTGTGTGTGTGTGTGTGTGTGTGTGTGTGAAAGAGAGAGGGAGAGAGAGACGAGAGAGAGAAAGACAGAGAGAACCAGCATCTTCAAGAGAAGTATTCTGCTTATACAAAATCCTTTACACCCCATGGTGTTATTCTTCATCATGTTTATGTTATTTCTTTAAAAATTTTCTACCCTTGGCATGAGGGGAAATGATTGATATTCAAGCAAGTTCTCTAGGAAACAAAATCTTCCCAACTCAGATTTCTGTGTCAGCTCAGAATGTATCTTTTTTTCATGCTTTGCTCTTTGGATTTATAACCTGTTTAGACTATTCCATACATTTTAGGTATATTTTGTGCCTTCAGACACTGCAAATAATAATCAGCATTTGGATTAAAGTTGTTTAATAATAAATCTTGTCTTTGCTCCCTATGCTCTTATTCTCTGGGGTGAAGAAATACTTATTTCTGGGCATGCTGAGATCATGAACTAAATTCTGTGCCATTGGCAGGGACAGTCATGAGGAAAACTCCTCTCCTCAAGGGGGTCTCAGATATGCCTGGAGGCGGGGTCATGCCTTCCTCACCCAGCACATATCCAGAGTTCCCTGACACCAACCAGGGGACAGTGTGAGGAACAGGCTGAGCAGCAAGTCTAATTTTTGGTTAACCTAACAGCGTTCTTTAAAATGTTAAGTTCTTGGAAGAGTCTTAGGAGAGAACTGGGTCATCATCATACATAGAGAAGTGCTCCCATGGCCTGGAAGAATGAACATCCTTCTAACTGTCAGCTGACTGTGCTGCCACTCTCATCTCCGCACTCTTCCTGACCTCAGATAAGTTGCTTCTCTCTGCTTGGGTCTCAGGGCTAAGGGACTGTCATTCCTGGTGGATCCACAGCTTGGCTGGACCCACAGCTTGGCTTCTCAAAGTCTGACCCTCACAAGGTCTGTGGAGACCCTTCTTCAATGAACATCCTATGCCCTCAGACATCCCACAGGCCTCGAGCCATCAGCCTGGTCCTCCACCCCTAGATGTGTGTGCTTTTCAGCCAACCTCTGAAAAAGTCCCCTGGCTTCAGTGACTATGTGGGGGAAACAGCCTCGCATCGGTCTCAAGCTCAGTAAGGCTGATCTAAGGAGGCTGGCTGGCATGTCATGATCGAGACTTCTTCTTTTAAAAATCAAAGGGAGGATGCCCAGCCCTAGTTCTTCTGCTCTGCATCAAGGTCAGGCTTCTCCACGTTGGGGCCACTCCTCAGACTGGGGCTGGGGGCGGGCAACAGACGCCACTGGATTCTGTGAGTGGACGGGTGGACAGGAGCAGCTGTGGGGAATCCCAAAGAGCTGTTTTCATAAGAAGAAGCTGCCTCATTCCTAAATTGGAAATCCCCCAAATAGTGCCGAGGTAAAACTAATTCCATACCTGATGCTTGTCTTTTAAGCGCTAAAGGAGGAGCAGACACATTACAGAAGAAAAGGCCAGTGGTCCTAAAGGCCATAAGGACATGGAGAGGCACTGTCTGCGGCCTGTGCCTTTTCATTTAAAAGTCATTCCATTTAATAATAGGTGATAGAAATATTATAAAAAATAAAATATTAATCATTTTAAATATAATTAAATAACAGAGATGGGCAAGGTCTAACAGATAACTCAGTTCTGTATATGACCTTCTGCTTCCAAGGCGAAGGGGTCACTTAATTTAGTGCCTCCAGCTTCATTTTCAGGAAACCTTCACTCCCAAAAGTATCTGCTTATGAATTAGCATCTGCATCTTAACTAGAGCCTTGTTTTGTACTTTTGGCCTTGGCAAAAGAAAATGAGATAAAAGATCCAGACAGTTTTAACTGACCTTTCCTTGCTGTGGACACAATAAAAGATGCAGTATTTCTGTTCCTAATATAACATTTTTAATATGTAAAATATTCTTTTATACCATTAGTTGTTTTTAATAAAACTATTAATTCTTATTATCCTCACCATTTGTACCAAGAAGCTGCACGTGAATAACTCTCTCCTGTGCCAATAACTTTAATCATTGTCTTTTTTTTTTTTTTTTTTTGGGCCTCTCAGTGGTAGTATTTAGTCAGAGGAGATGACTTATGAGAGAAGTGAACCTATTCCAGATAAATCAGGTGAGCTAACAGTCACCTCCTACAAAAGAGGACGGGACAATTGTCTGTAATGTCTGATCATCCCTCTCCTGCCAGCATTTATTGTCTCACCTCTGAACTTGACATTGAGCACTGAGCTCCAGAGATAATAGAAATTCTCTCTGCAGGAAAAAAAAAAAAAAAAAAAAAGATGGCTACAGAAATTTGCAATGGCCAATGGCTGGGATCTAGAAGAGAGGACACTAGATAGACCTGGATTACTTAGGGTGAGCAACCAAATGTGACCAAAGGAGAGCTCAGTTGCTGGCAGAGTCAAGTATACAGTTGCCAGGAGCCCAGGGGTATCCAAATTCAGAGGCGAACAAAATATTCGCCAACTTATGGAGACTTGTGCATCCAAAATAAGTACACGTAGACACATATACGTATGTTCATGCACAAACACCTAAGTCCATGCAAACACACTCACCATATCAGACACATGCATGCAGAGTTTTAAAACACATGGCAGTACGCTTGGGTGATGTAAGCAGGTGGAGAGATGCTCATCAGAAACAGAGCCCAGGGGAGAAAACTGTTTCAGGGCTTCCCTGCCCAGTGCACAGACTCAATACAACAATCAGCCAAGTGATGTTCTGCAGTCAGCCGCCGAAGAGGGAGGGAGGCGCACCTCCAGCAGTGTGGCCTGTTGTCTGCAAGGCTGTCTGGTGTGCTCAGCAAACCCTCCCCTGTTATCAATCCCTTGCTCTAAAATCCTGACTTGCAACCGGAATCCCTGAAATATGCCAAGAAGCCCCAAGCATTCTCAAAAACATCCTGTTTCCTAATAAGAATACCCATTATCATCTGTATC